ATCAGTAGGCAAGATGTTAGATATATTTCACTTTCCTGTGTTTTTTTTTTCTTTCCAAAACTGAATTGAATTTTTTTTTTTTTTTGTGTGTGTGTCTTTATAGAACTTTGATGTTGACATGTATGATTTTATTTATTTATTTTTTTTTGTTGAAGTAGATAAGTACCAAATGACAGTTAAGGTTACTTGAATGTAACATATCTCAAGAAGGCTTGTTAGAATATAAAGTTAAATACTTAAATTTGATTGTACATTTCAGCAAAGCTTTGTGATTTGTATATGATTTAATGCTAATTAAATATATGAACCTAAGTCTGAGGAAATGTATTTTATTTAAAGTCCATTAGCTATATTATACACAATATGAATAGTACTACTATTAACACTAAATACAAATACATTTTCAATGTAATTAGTACTTTAAATCACTTTCAGGTACATCCTAATTGTATTTAAGGTGTGTGTCTTGTTTATCCAACTCTCTCCCTCTCAGTATTTATTGTTGGGTGCACAAGAAATATGCATTTACTCTTATTTTTGAGTAGCTTTTAAGTGGCTTCTAGAGTTCTGAATTTGAAGGGGTTAGTTATTGAGCAACTTTGGTCAATAATTGGTCAAATATATTCAAACTATAGAAACACTTAGCATTAACTGTTTAATTTAACATAAGGTTATTAAATATTTGAAAGTGTTACTTTTATTAAAACTTTTTTTTTTCAATTGTTTGATTTAATAAGTAACTTGAGTTGATCTGTTCAATGAAGTTTGGATTAAAGGGAAGAGAATAAACTTAGCCAAGATAACATTAATGAAGCTTCTAGCAATAACCAGAAATACAATTCTACAATCAAACTCTATACATAGATTTAAATTAGAATTTCTGATCATCTTACCATATTTCCAAGCATTGAGGACACACTACAGCCTCAAGGGAAAAATAATTTTGACTTGGAATATTTTGGGATGAGGGAATAAAAAAGAATACATATAAAATAAACAGGTTAAACTTTCAAAACTTTTTTCATGAAAATAGTAAATATTTTGTTCCATTTCAGTTTGTCTACAAATTCTTTACTTTTTTTTTTTTTTTTTTTCTTTAAATGTTTTATTATAAGACTTAGTGTTAAATCAGTTTTTTTTTGGTGGGGGATATTATCTTAATGCCATATTGTCAGGAATTGCTTTTGGAAATGCGTTAATAGGTTTTAAACACAAACATATATGCTTACATTGATAGAAAAATGGAACATGTTCATATAAAAATGCTATACTTTTAACTCCTTTTCCAACAAAAATATTTTATGAAACAATATTAAATTTTGCATGATTGCTTAACCTAACTAATTGTTTTTATTTAAATTCTCTCAAAATTCTGACATTTTAATTTTTTAATATTGCCTAAAAGAAACAACAAAATTCTAAAACCATTTGTTATTGTTTCACTAACAAAACATTTTATAACCATAAAAATGAGTTTTTATTAATTGTTTTTTACTTTATTTACTTTTTTGATTTAAACACAATTTTCTTTTGCTTGGTATTGGTTCATTCCCAGCAGTCATCTTTTTGTGCTGGACCATTTCTTCTCTAGCACCACATGTTGATGCAAAATGTTTTCAAAATAATGTTTTTATTCAGTGCCATTGAAATATGATGAAATTCACTAAAATTATCTTAGTTGACAGCCAAATTGTCAAGTTTTTTTTTCCAATCATGAAATTAACTCATTTCTTTTTTTATTTAATGTTGACACATACACTCAATTCATTTTTCAAACTTGTAACAGTATTTTTTTTTTTTTTTTTATCTCTTAAAATCAATAATTATTTGAAATTTTGTCTATAAGTACATAAAAGTTTATGTAGAAATGATTGTGAGACATTTGAAGTTTTCTTCAAGCATAATAATATTTGTAATTAATTTTTTGATGAAATTCTTCTCATTTAATAATTTAAATAAGTTGTCAGAAAAAAATAAAAGACCTGTTCATTATTGAATTTTGACATTTTGAGAATATTTTTAAAGATCAGATATCTTTTGCAGCTCTATATAATAGGAATCTCAGAAATATATATATATATATATATATAAATACTTGTATTTGCTGAAAGTCAAAGTAGTTAGACATGAATTTATTTCTGCAAAACAAAATTGTTTTATCTCAGACGTTGCTAAATGCTTATTAAAAACTTATACTTTGACAAGTTGTGTGGAGCCTTTTTATTGCTGTTTCGCTTTTGGTCAGTAAACTTTAGCCTGCTAATCTGTCTTTAAAAAAAGTTTAAAAGTATTTCATTATTTTAAAAATGATTCACATCCACTATTATCAGAAACAATTTTGTGATAAAAATCAAAGCATGTCAAGGTAAAAAGTTTTCTAGTTTCTTACATGATAATGATTTTAGTTTCTGAAGGGCCCAACAATTTTTTTTTTTCCTTCTCAGAAAAGGGAAAAAAATATTCACTTATTTTCCAAAGTTAACAATACTTTAAATTTTGTTTTATATTTTTTAAAAAAAATGCCTTTATAGACATACACTTAGCTGAAATGACAAGCCAATTCTGATTTGGCATCTCAAGATGGTTATGCCAAAATGTCATTGGAGTTGGGTCCCTTTTACAATTAAGACTTTATTGCCTCTTTTTTACTAAAGATCTGGGCCTCAGAGGAGAGATAGTTTTCCAAGTGTTTCACGTCTCTTAGCTGCCTTAACTGATAGTAGGCTCTGACCTAGAGACTGAGTAAGGAAACTGGAGAAATTTACTTTTTAAACCAGATAAGGCTTGCTTGTCATTGTAGCAGAGACAACAATATCATATTTATTTTCCATGCAGAAAGTGAACAGTTTGTATTTTGAGGAAACAATTTTCTTTCCACAGTGGAATTTTTATATAAGTTTTTAAAATGTCACCTATTCAATTCGGTTGTTGACTTCAAACTTTTAAGTTATCATTTCATCCAAGGTAGTGTGCATTTCAAAATTTCCCATTTGTCGTTTACTACCTGATCAGGCTCCCACATGATAGATAGCTGTGCCTCTTCACCGAGAGAAAGTGAACCACATGATTCAAACTATCACTAATAGATAATGACAGGGAAAACTGCATCACTTTGATGGTTATGCGGTTACCTATGAAAACAGTTTTCTCATATGAAATAAACATGTTCATACAGGAGACACATTTCATTCATGCTGTACTTTGCATGTGTCTCTGGCTAGCTATATATTTCACCTTTTCCAGACTTGGTAAAATGAATACCAAAGAAAATCAAAGTTGACTTTAGTATAACCCATGTCCAATTGGGATATTTTGCTTGAAGCTATAGCATAAGCAATATGTATCCTGTTTTGTCAGTTTTGAACATTCATTCATCTTTTCATAAAATACAACCTTTGGCTTTTCTCTTGTGCAGAACTTTTTTTTTTTTTTTTATTTCAAGGGAATTTCTGGCAGTAGTATATTTTATCATCCCCCATGACCCTCATTTTTAATAGTAGAATAATCCAATTTCAGGAGTTGGGCCTTTCAATAACTCGGTCCATAAATAATATTTATGGTTACTGCCTTTCCCATTTGAAATTGGGCTATTTTCTGTAATTATCAAAGTGGTACTTTATTTTTTATATTGGCCAAAATCATCTTCAAAGAAATGTGAATTGGAATTATTCACACACACACACAATTTTAAAAATGGTATAGTGAGTTATCTTGTAAAGTTTATAGTTTTGACATATGATTTTTTTTCATAGGTAGCAATTTTCCTTTACAATAATGATTGTTGAAAACATTGTTAATCTACATACTCTTACTTATGGGTGATGTGCTGACTTGATGTGTTTAAAAGTTAATAATCAGATTTTTCTGTCATGGAGATAGAGGAAATAAATAACCATTTTAATAAAAAAAAGAAAAAAAAAAAGGTAAATTTACTCAAGAAAGAATAATAAAGTTTCAAGTGAAATATATATATATATATATTTTAAATCTGATGATTTATATTAAGTTTCTCTAGAGCAATCACAGATTATAGTTTTACAAATTATTTGACTAAGGTTCATTGTAATAAGTATATGGTTTTAGAATATCTTTAATTTAGTGGTGATTATTAATCTTATACACTGAACATTATACCGTGGAGACTTGAGATCAAAATTTGGCTAATTATTGTATGTCAGGCTATATACACTTATTCATCTTCCCTTATGTAATCAATGTAGGTTGTTTTTTTTCTCCATTTTCTCTTAATTGAAACTTTTTGCAGACTTCTATTCAGTTTCTGCTTAAAATTTAATCCAGCATGGCATTTTTTTTTCCTATCAAAAAGTAAGAGTTGTTCAAGTTTTCATTTTTTTTTTTTAATTGTTTGTGGGTTTTTTTTTCATTCTTTCCATTTTTTTTTTTTTTTTGCTGTGATTTTTTTCTTTTTTATTGAACTAATTACATTTGTTTTTATTTTCATTGCTAACTTTAAGAAAATAAATTTTATTCATTCTGCTTTTCAGATATTCTCCAGGATCTTAATTCTTGCTTCTTAAAAATTCAAATTTTCTGCCTTAGACCCTCATGTGTATTGTAAGAACTTTACAATTTTGAATTAAAATATTTTTTTATGTATGAAGTATTTTTCAATAATTTCTTACAATTGAATTTTTTATTCAAAATTTAATTTGATTCATTAAGTTTTTAATTAGTTCTGGCTTCAAGAGACATTAAATTTAAACTTGTCTAGTTACTGCTTTACCCCCACCCCCCCAAAAAAAAATGATTTTTATACCTAGATTTCTATTTACATGGCATCAAGGCTCAAAACATTTTTTTGTTGTTTGCTAAACAAGTATTTTAAGTTTAAACAATGTAGGTATGTTCAGTCATTTGCTCCCTTTTATTCAAGAACCATTGTATCCATTCATGTCTAATGATTTAGGGCAACTCAAAAAATGATAGTTGCTTATCAGCACTCTGCTCCAGAGTTAAATTAAGAGTTGTTTCTTTTTCAGATGCTCCCCCACGTCCCCCACTGCCTCATGAGACAGTACCACCAAGGCCTCCTCCACCTGAGACTGACGATGAAGATGAATCTGCTTTCCCGATGCCACAGGCTAACCAACCAATAATGGTGAGTTTTTGCTTTTTCCTAACCACTCTTCAGGAAAAATTTTATCTATGCAAACACCAATCCCTGAAGGACACATGGCACAATGGATAAAGGCATTAGTTAGATCCAGTGACAGAACCCAAAGAGTGCGAGTTCAATACCTGGATGGTATACAATGGAGAACTTGGAGAGGGGAATTAACAGGAGATAACTGACATCCATTAGACATGAAACTAGAACAGTCTACCTCAGTGAGCAAAATAAAGGGTTCAGTTCGACATTCCAACCATCTGAAGAAGGCCAGAGCATACAACAGCTGAAACATTGTAATAAATATGGCGACAAAGATGAGAACAATAGTCTGAATAATGTAAATAGTGTACATAATACCTCATCTCAGAAATATAGACAGATACCAATCCCTTTGTAGTGGTATTTTTCAATGCACTGATGAAAATTCAATTTTATTTATTTTGCTTTCAATAATCAGTACCAATTGACTGCTAACCAATCACAGAACAATCTTGTTTTACAAATCATAGAAAGATATTCATTAATCAATATGATTTAATTGTTCTCTAAATCATTTGTCAAATACAATGAATTAAAGTGTGGAAAAATTAACAGCTTTTTCTATGATGATATCTACAAATGCTGATTTAAGTCTCAATATCTTTCTCATTAGAGAAACTCAAACTTATCTAGTATCCAACTTGCTTTTATATTAATAGCTGCAATGATAATAGGAGGATAAATATATCCTTTATCAGCTCAAGTTATATTTTCTTTTTGTTATATCTTTAAAGATGGCTGCTCATGATCTACATATGGAGACGAAGCAGTGGTCAAGCAAAGACAATGAAATTATTGTAGCTGCAAAGAAGATGGCTCTGCTTTTGGCTAAACTCTCTCATTTGGTTAGGTAAGTTGTGATGTTTAATATTTTTATAACCTGGTAGATACTTACTAAACTTAGTGTATGGAGATGAAAATCCCTAAACTAGTATTTGTTTTTGACAATTGATTAACCATTATTCCATGACAATCACTCTTGCAAGCTTTATTCAATTTTTTTTATGGTTTTAAATGCATATTTTTTAATCCTTGTAGATACAATTAAAAAACTTTTTTTTTTCTTTTTTTTTCTTCCAACAGTTCTAGAATGGAGATTGTATTTGTGTTGCCTTATAATTTGCAGATCTTTGTGGTATCATGCAGGATTTATTTTTTGTTTGATGTTATTAGAGTAAGAAAAAGTTACTTCATCGTATCAAGCTAATAATTATCTATAGTTCTGTGGCTAGTTATCTTTTTGGCATGATTTATTAAGACTAATATCCTCATCTTTATTGTTTTCAACACATTTCAGCTGGTCAAGTTTCTTACTTTCATCAGGTAGATGTATTATATCACCATATTTAAAACTTCACCAATGCTATATCGGAAAAATATAAATTTAAAAACTGCAATTTCAATATTTTAACATGGCTTTTATTTGTGCAGTGTTTTCATACAAATAAGTTTGTTTTATGTAAACACATGAAGTAATGGATTTGCAGGTCATTTAACAGATATTGACATGGAAAGTGGCATTGGCAAATTCTAAGCTAGTTTGCATTCACTTTCACACTAATGTTTTTGGGAAAGACATTAATCTGTCTCTTCACCCTAACCCATCTTTGTGTTAAATAGGATTGTACATTATGATCTTTAGCCTTGGGTGACAACCCAGTATAAGAGAAAGTAAATTTTGAATTCCAAACCATGGAGAAGTCAGTAATAAACCATTCCATTTATCTTTCCCAAGAAGTCATAGCAATTCACAGATAAAGAAAAGGTATCTGTGGTGTCATGGTAACCTTTATTCTAAAGACAATCCAGTGTTTAAAGTAGATATAAAGTAAATTGTAAATTGAAAATTTTATGAAATTGCAGAAAGTTTCAATAAACTTACCAAGTTTATTCATTTTTTTTAATGTTGTGCTGAGGCATAGATGGATTTTTTTTCTATAAGTGAATTTTTTAAGAATTAATTTTTAAAGTGTGGCAGTTTGAGTGCCTTTTAATTAATCATTTAAGGAAGGTTGTTACATGTGAACTTCATTTGATGAAAGCTAAATAACCAACCAACCAGCTTGAAAATAATATAACTGAGGATGCTGATCCTAATAAAGATGTCATCCAATTATAAGACAAGTATGGTATTCTTTCATTTCTTTTTGTATACTTTCAGACCAGCTTAAGTATTTTATTGATAAACAGTTCAAAAGTGTCTACCTGTCATATATATATATTTCCTTTAAATGGTGGTATCAACATGTCATGTTTATCTAAAATTTACTAAAGCTGCTGTGAACCTTACAAGTTTGTTTTAAATTTAATTTTTTTTTTTTTCTTGAAAAGAGAGCTAGAAGTCTAGTTGCTTACTGGATAAAATGTCTTCTATACATCTCTTTTGTTTAACTCTTATTGATTCTTCATTGAAAAATACTACATTAATTTAAAGAAAAAAAATTTTGCTTTGGTAAAAATATAGAAATTCATAAAAGAATGAAACTATCCTGTAGTAAATGTTTTGTTTCAAAATTTTAAAAACGTTATCCTTTTAAATGGGAATATTTTTGAAGTCCTGGAGAAGGTTATTTTACTTACTTGACCAACTATTTGTTAAATTATGCTTACACACTTTCAAAGTTAAATATTGTCTGTTTTCATTATTCTATAACTTTATTTTTAAGTTTTTATATAGCTTTTCTTAGAAAAACTTGAATATAATAAAAGATGAAAATATAACTGCCATATGATACCAAATAATATACAAGTAAATTCAAACATTTTTTTTTTTTGTCTTGTAAGCTGCTGTAGGTACTTATCTTAAAATTTATATTTTTTGGAAAGATGTTTTAAAATTGTTTTCTTCCTCTTTCCAAGTTTTGTTTGTTTCTCCTAAAATTTAATTGGTCAACAAGGTGTTTATGCTGAACTTGATACTTGCAGTTGTGAGTCAACTTGCAAATGGATTTGGTGCACAGCGCATAAGATGTAAGCCATTGATCTATGGAAGATGGTTTTGCCCTGGTTGGTTGTATCAATACATTTCTTCCCTAACTCTCACTATAATCAATCATTGAACATTGCATATAAAGCTGTCTACATTACTGTACAAAATGAAGTGTTGGAAGGAAGGCAGCTTCCAATCACTCACCCTGCAATACCCACCCCTGCCAACACTTTTGATTCTCACATTTCATGTGATTCACTAAACTCTCTCTCTGTCTGTCTTATTGATTATTTTTCTTTTCACCCCTCCAGTCAGAATGGTTGTTACCATCTTTCCTGTATATAATTAACCTAGATGTTATTTCTGTAGGGCCTATTTTAGCCAGATTGATAGAACTCTGTTAAAAAAAAAAATGACTTTATTGAATATGTTATAGATTGCATCATTTTTGTTTAGGTTAGAGTGGGGTTATATAGATGTTGTGTATGTCTTCATATGCTTATATGTTGCTAGTTGTATTCCTATAAATGAATACATACATCCTTATAAATACTATAAATGTACACATGCATAAAGACTTGCTGCAGAATTTTTAACATAGTATTGCATCAGGCCACAAAAGTAAAGCACCCAGTGAAGACCAAATTATTAAATTCACTTACAATGATCTGTAAAGCTAGCTTGTTAATTATAACTTTATAATTCATTCTCATGTATTATTGCATCATGTCATGTGTAAATATGTGCACATTGTGTTAAGAGTGTCATAACCTATTAAGAACATTGGGGCACTGCATGTACTGCAACCATATAGCCTGATGGAGCCCATCCCTCTTCAGGCTGGTTTTGAATTCAGTTTTCCTTCTAGACTTCTCTTAGTTCAGTAACCTTTTTTACTTAACACCTAGCTAGGAGGAGGAGGAGAAAGAGATTCATACCCCTTTTCCAAAGGTATTTGTGCAGAAGTGAATGTAAAGAACTCTGATGGAATTCAAACTCTGTTCACCAGTTTCTCTTTCTGAGTCACTAAACACTATGATATCTGATGCATATAACAAAACGGATTAAACATATGTTAACAGTAAATGAGAAAAATACCAATAAAATTAAAAGAAAGAGTGGTAGAAAGATGAGATTTTTACTATCACTTAATGTATAAACTTATTTTACCTGAACAGGTAAAGTCAATGTTCATGAAAGATGAACTTCTTCAAAAGGGGTTGGTATACAAATTTGTCTTAAAATCTATCTCTTTATTTTTTTTTATTTTATTTTGAGCAGTTAACAAGAGTATTGACACAGAATATTGTGTTAAAAAGTAAACTAATAAAATGGAGGTGGGGACTGGTAATAAAACAATAGTAATAGCACTTGTGGCTGATAATCTGATTATAAAATAATTACTTATCAATATATGATAGAGTAAATTATAGTAGTCAGTCATTTTACAACAGTTCAGAAGAACGTCAAGTAAAATTTTATTTAGAACCACTGTACCAGTTTTTAATGTTATTCCTTTGGAATAAAAATGGATTCTTATTTTCCTATCAATCTTATTTCTATCAATTAATAAAATCATTGAAACTATAAGTAAATAGTAAATTATTAAAAAATTGTTTTTCATACACAACTTGCAAATATATAACTTGATCTGAATGAGTGTTTTGCAAGAGTGGAAAAAAAAACACCCCCTGATAAATTTTAGTAAGATCTAAAAATAGAGCATGATTGAATAGTTTCATCAGCAGAGTGCTGTGCCGATGCTACTCTATTGTTTAATTGAAAGTCAATGACAGGTTCCTTGAAGGCAATTTTTACATCATTTTTGCTATTAATTTGGTATAATAATTTTATTACTAAGTATTGTATGTAGCAGAGAAGTGAAATTATGAGATCACCCCCACCCCAGTCTTTGTCAGTTACAACCCTTCCTTAAAATATTGTTTACTTGCAAATTACATATATATATATATATATATATATACACATACATACACACAGTCATGAATAAAAATTTTCTGTTTCCATTTATATTATTTTTTTAATAATAAAGATGAAGACCTACTCTTACTATTTTATATGCCATTGTATCATTATGCACATTTTCTTAATAATTTTACTTAAAAAAAAAAAAAGAAAAAAAATGAAGGAAATGATTTGGTACAATGGTTTCTTGATATCTCCTCAGAAAGAAATGACATTATGATTCCAAAAAAATGTTTATTTTTTAACTGAAGTTTATTTTACTTCCAATAAGAATTATTAAAGTTTGCTTAATGTTTGTATTTTCATGTTAGGATAACTTTAAAAAAAAAATAAAAATAATCTTTATTGTGAGGTTAAATAAGTAGAAGAGTTGTCTGCTAGATTCGATTATTTGTGTTGGCTTTTTTTTATCTTTTGATGCATATAGTTATTAATAATTTTGAACTTGGAAAGAATTCACTAAAAATTTTAAAACTAGTTTTGTCCTCCAAATTTCTAAAAGGAATTTAACCAAATTATGCAATTGCTGTTAATATTACAGACCAACAAATTAAAACCATCTTTCATTTTTATCTGATGTTTTTTTCTTTTACATAAGGCATGACAAAATGTTTGGTTTGTTTTATTTGTTTTGTTGT